GTCGTAACCCAACAGAGCAATCAGACCTCGGCAGGCAGTAGTGTAGATCAAATTTCCCCCGTTGACCAAGAAGTGTCTGGTGTGGGCACTGTTGCTCCACAGGATACCGACTCGTACCAAACTCCAACGACTACAACTGCTCCCGCTGGCTCTGGCGCCAGTCAGAGCTATACAATCACTCCAACTGCAACTCAGGCACCAACGCAGCAACCGACTCAGGCACCAACTCAGCAACCGACCGAGTCACCCGCTGAAGGTACGAAGTGCAAAGTAAAACTCCGTCGACACTAGCTGTTAGGCGGATAGCATATCTTTTGTACGATGCAGTAATCTTGTGAATAGTAACCAAACGTCATGCACGTAAAGATCAAGCCCACTCCATCAATCGTGCATTCCTACCTAGAATCTACTAGCACCTGGATATGGAGTGTGCAAGCCGTAAAAACGCTCTGTTGCACTCAACCCGGTCGCTCCTGCGATGTCAGCCATTCGCGAAAGATACCGTTGCCGTGATGTGGAAGTTGTCGAGTGCAGTTGTGGCGTCGTCGAGTCAAGATGACGGCTTTTTTTTTTCGCACTGTCCAACAGATAAAGTCCAGATCCTTGAAGCGCTCACCGAAATGCCTGCAAAGATCGCAAGGTGTCAAGCAAGTCGCCGTGACTACCGTGGCATGCGACTTATCCAAAGTTTCCGCACTCCTCGTCAACGCACTGCCGTCGCAGCGAAGCAATCCACAGGTTTCGATAGCATCGGATTCGAGGCCGGAGCGCTTGGCATTTAGGAACATAGCAATGCTCATATCGCCAGCAGCAAACTGCTCCACCATCGTTAGCGTTTGCAGGCACCTCATCGCCATCTGACAGAGGATGTGGCGCTAAGAACCGATGGTTGTGAAGCTGACCGTGTTGAGTCAATTGAGTCAAGTGTGACCGGCCACTGTTTTCGCGCCGTCTGTCGCGACGGCACGAAAATCAGACGAACGCCTGCATCTTGGTGGCGGCTGGAGTCCCGCAGGACGGACTTGCACGCTCTTCCCTTTCGGACAGTGCTGACCGGATGGCGCTGACGCCAAAGGTGCTTTCAAAGCGTGCTAGAGTACGATATCTGCAGATCCACCACCTCCCGATCAGCCTCATCACGGTGCATCTCTGGCAGCATAAGACGCATGGCCGTCCGCCCTGCTCAACGTGCTTCGGCTAGCAGCATTTGTCCATTCTGCAATTTGCCTCGAGCAGCTCAATTGGCAGCCTACAGAAGCTTTCAAAATGGTCAAGATCTTCCGCACACCGCTCGCAATGGCTGCGCTGGCCTGGAGTTGTTACCATGGCGCGACCACAGCTGAAGATCTGTGCTCCATCGCTCCGTCCTCCTACTCGGGAGCCAAGACGACGTATCCGCAGCTCGCGACTGCACTGGAGACGATGGAGCAGTATTCCATTGCTGCCTGGTACACGGATCGACTGTCCGACTCGGACAGGTCTACTATGCTGTCCAGCCTCACAAGCCAGTGTTCCGAAGACTCTCGAATGACGATCGCAGTGTACGGCATTCCGGACAAGGATTGCAATGCTGGACTCTCGTCGTCCGGAACGGTGCAGAGCACCAGTGACTACGAGTCATTCCTCTCGCAGCTCACCACCGCGGTGGGTGATCGCAAAGTGCTCTACGTTGTAGAGCCCGACGCCGTGGGCCTACTCGCTAACGGAGGTTGCGGTGAATCGGCAGGTTACCTCGATAACCTAAAGATCGCTGTTGCAGCTCTGTCCGCGAACGCGAACGCGGAGTTATACGTTGACGTCGGCTACTGGCTGCTTGCCGACTCGACGAACGCTGCGGCGGTAGCTACTATCGTCAACGAGTTAAGCGCCTCGGGAACGCTCAAAGGCATCACTATTAACACGTCGAACTACCGCTCCAACGATGAATGCACCACGTACTGCAACAACTTTCAAACGGCAATGGGATCAAGTACTATGACGTGTATCATTGATACCAGTAGAAACTACAATGGCTCGCCTACAAGTGACTGGTGCAACGTCAAGACAGCCGGAATCGGCAAGCCGCCTACATCGGAGACGGGTATCTCGAATATCGACTATTTCATGTGGATTAAGCCGCCTGGAGAGAGCGACGGTATCTGCACGGACACGTCGTACTCGGACGAATCGCTGACCGGTGTGACGGCCGGTACCTTCTACGAGGAAGGCTTCCAAATGCTCTGGGATCAAGGATACTTTGTCAACGAGCAGGGCATGGCCACGATTTCTGGTAGCAGCAACAGCAGTACGAGTCAAACAAGCAGCCAAACAGGCACACAAACAACCAGCCAGACCGGCACCCAGACGGCCACTCAGACGGCGGGAAGCAACGCGGACCAAACCTCGTCGGTTGCTCAGGATTATGACAGCACTACCCAATCTGCTGCAGGCACGGTTGCTCCGGCGGACAATGGCTCGTACCTAAGTACTACAACTCCAGTTGCTACGACCGCGACTCCGGCCGTGACTCCGACCCCCACACCAACTGCCACGACAGCGATACCTACTGCGACTAGCTCTACCGGCTCGAACACCTCGCAGACCAGCTCGTGCAAAGTCAAAAGGCGCATGCGCAAGTTGTAGGTAGTGGGTGCGTGTTCCGTGCGCGATTTGTGTGGGTATCTACATGTAATACTTGTTTAGTCTCGTAAATACAATTCTAGATCTACCTGGTGTTGAAGATCCTCATCCTGATGCACTGCTAAAAGTGAATGTGTAACCATGCGCTCATGAATGAATATAACACCGACGAAGACGGCGAGCGAGGCAGACTCGACGCTAAGCCTCACCCGTGCTACCGGTGATCATTAAAACCTGCTCCATCTCGTGAAGCTTCGCCATCTGATGTCGGCGAAGTGCCTCTTTACTGCGTCTCCACTAGAGACGGAGACTCTCCACCTCAAGTCATCGGGAGAAACGGTCGCTAGAATTCGATGCGTTCAGTTATACGACCCTATTTCAGACAGATGAAGAGGAATTTGGAGGAATTAGTGGTGCAGCGACAATGAAAGAGAGCACCGAAGCAAAACATTCGAGAATCCGTCAAGTTTACCGAACCTGAGCGCAACATCGCACATGAACGATAACTATTCGCGTTTCGTCGAACTCGCTGCTTCAGCAGATGGCGCTCAGACAACGAAAGACTCAACTCAACTCGCGCGCGCCAATGGTTGATGCAGCCCCTCAGCGAAGGCGTCAGGCGTCCAGTCCGGACAGATAAGAGCTATACTTGCCACCCGCATATGAAAACCACCAGGAGACGATGCCCGAACAGCACAATTATCGGAATGCTGCTTTGTGCACCGTCTTCTGGTTATATGTGCCTCACCGGTCGAAGTGATCACAGCAATGCTTCATTCTGCATTTCGCCAAGCATCACACAACTGCTCAACTACACGTGAAGCTGCAGCAATATGCACAGCATCCTACACTCGCGCACAGTGGCCACCGCCGTGTCCTGCATGGCACTCGCCTTATCCTCTTCAATCGGTCTCACCAGTGCCGAGGAGCTCTGCTCCATCCCACCGTACTCGTACACGAGAGCCAAGTCGGACCACCCGGAGCTCACGAGTGCCATCGAAACACTGGAAAACTACGCCATCGCTTCGTGGTTCACGGATCGCCAGGGAACCGATGAACGTTCGACCATGCTTTCCAACATGCTCAACCAGTGTTCCGAAGAAACTCGCCTCAGTATCGTAGTCTACGGTATCCCCAACAAGGACTGTGCTGCTGGGTTGTCGTCCGAAGGAAGCGTAAAGAGCACAGACGACTACAAGGCCTTCTTACAGGAGCTCACGGGTGCCATCGGCGACCGTAAGGTACTTTACGTTGTTGAACCGGATGCGTTGGGCCTGTTGGCAGAGGAGGGCGGCTGCGGTGCATCCGCTGGTTATCTAGACAACCTCAAGGTGGCGGTGGAGGCCTTGTCCTCCAACCCCAACGCTGAGCTGTACATTGACATTGGCTACTGGATGTTGGCGTACCCCGACAGCGCGAGCAAGGTGGCTACTGCGATGAAAGAGATTGTTACTTCCGGCCGCGTCAAGGGCGTGACGATCAACACGTCGAACTACCGATCCACCGATGAGTGCACCACATACTGCACGAACTTCCAGACTGCTATGGGCAAAAGCGATATGTCCTGCGTTGTGGACACCTCCAGAAACTACAATGGTTCTCCTACTAGCGACTGGTGCAACGTCCAGACTGCTGGTATCGGCAAACCACCAACGTCGGAGACTGGTGTCTCGAACATCGACTACTTCATGTGGATCAAGCCGCCCGGAGAGAGTGACGGTGAATGCCCCACGGGTGGAACTTCGGCAGGCTCTTTCTACCTGGAGGGCTTCACGCTTCTCTGGGACCAAAGTTATTTTGTGAGCGAACAGGGCATGCCGAAGATAGGCGACGGCCCGAGCACCCCGGCGCCAACAAAATATGAACCAAATTCAAGCGCCGATGACGAAAACCAGAGTGCACCAGATCAGACCACATCGATGCCCACTCACGCCCCGACGACCGACAACTCGAACTGGAATCAGGAACAAACTGTGGGAACCGTTGCTCCAGCCGACACTACTTCGACCGAAGCCCCGTCCACTCCAGAAACAGTTGCTCCATCCACCACAGCGCCTGTCATGGAAACTACGACAGCTCCGTCATACTCTACGACCCCTGCTACGACTGCGCCGTCCACAACAGCGTCGACTGGACAGACGGAAAGCACAACGCAGTCTAACACTATTCCTCCACGTAGTGCCTGCAAGGCAAAAAAGCGTTTGCGCTCGCTGTAACCAGGATGTTTGTCAGTCGAAGTATTGTATCCGTTAATTTGCATTGAAAGTAAGAACAAGTTTTTCGTTTGTTACGCAAGTTTTGGGAAATTGACAAGTTTTTCGGATACGATTTTGTAATATCCAGTTACGCTTGGCTTTCTGGATTCACCTTGATCACCAGCTTTCCACGCGAGTGTCTTCCCTTGAGCTTGGTCAGAGCCGCGTGGAGCTTTTCAAACTCGTACACAGTGTCGATAATGGGGACAATCGTTCCCTCTTCGAGGTACGACGTGATTTCATCCAGCCCCTTCGCCGTCGGGTATACGAGTACTTGGCCAATATTCTTAGCGCCATACTTCGCAGGCTGGACAGGCTCCGTGATCGGCAGCAGCGATACAAAGCGCCCGGTGTTCTGCTTCAGGATCAACTGCGCGTCCGTATTCCACGCGTCAGCCTCCATGCCACAGTCGTAGATCACATCCACCGAGTGTGGATCAAGCTCTTGTCCCCACTTTTGCGTATGGTAGTTAATGACACGATCCGCGCCAAGACCTTTGACAAAGTCGGCATTCTTAGCGCTCGTGGTCGTGATCACACGAGCTCCAATGGCGTGTGCCAACTGAATAGCGAACATGCCCACGGCACTGCTGCCGCCGAGGATGAGCACGCTTTCGCCCTTTTGGAGCTTCGTGTGCTCCACCAGAGCCTGGTAGCTGGTGAGTCCGATCAGCGGGATGCTGGCTGCCTGGTCGAACGTCAAGTTCTTAGGTTTTAGAGCCACTAGATCCTCGTCGAATACCGCGTAGTCAGCCACTGTGCCGCATGCATTGAAAGGAGTCATGGCGTACACCTGGTCGCCCACTTTGAGACGCTTGGACTCGCTACCCACCTCCACGACAATACCGGCGGCGTCGAACCCGATACCGAACGGCTTCTCGGGCGTCGGCACTTTGCCGGTGAAGGCCTCGCCTGCCTGCTCCAACAAGATGTAGTCGATGGGGTTGATGGCAGCGCTAATCACTTTGACACGCACTTGATTAGGCCCGAGCTCTGACCGCTTTACAGACAGACGGAGCTTGAGCTCCTGCTCCTGCGGACCGTAGTGGTCATACTGGTACGCGCGGTACGTCTGAGGAACGGACATTGCCGTCGTCTCTTGTTTAGATGAGATCTCTTTGGGCGACTGCAAATTGAAGAATGAGCTCGCAGCTCGTGCGCCTTATTGGACGATGGCTTGTCCCTTGCTGCGTGCGTATCCCCTGAAGATCTTTTGCGGAAGCTAGAAGAGACCACATTGAAGTATTCCGACTTGCTGCGGATCCGTCCACGCTGTCTTTGATGAGCGTCTATTACTCAACTACTGACGGGGCTACCAACGTCGTTAACTTTCACTACACGTCCATTATTTTCTTGTTAAGCCAACTCGCAGAGGAACTATGCCGCTGAAACGCAGACTGTCTAGAGGATGTTGGAGTCTCTCGCAGGTGTTCTCCTATGAGGACGGAAGTCCACAATCGTCGTCGGCAATGGGGCAAGTGCTGACAGCTCCGGAGTCTTAGCTGCGTTGACCATCTTCTTCTGTCGGCGACGAATGCCCACGATCGCGGCGAGCACTACCACGGCGGCAGCAACGACTGCAATCAAGACGATCATTCCCATCCCCACCGTGGAGGTGCGTGAGCTCTCCGTCGATATCTGCTCGCTATCTGCTGCCTTTGATACGGGAATCGGAGTCAACGGCGGTGCAGGGGTCGACCCTTGTTCGGCCGTCTCAAGGCTAGTTTGAGTCGACTGATAATAATTGGTCTGACCGGCGTTTGACGCAGGCGTGCTATCACTAGTCTTTGATGAGGCTGTGTTAGTCGACGGAGCGGTTGCGTTGTAAAAGGCGACTTCATGATCCTGGTTCTGGCTCGCCGGTGGCGTCTGGGTTGTAGATGCTGAGCCTGTGGAGCTGCGGACCGTGCCGTCAATGACAGGATATCCCTTCTCAGTGACCATAGTGCCCTGATTCCAGAGCGACTGAAACAGCTCGTTAAAGAAAACACCAGCACCAGGACCTTGCATTGAATCAGGTGTACGGCCATCGCACGTGCCGTCGCTGTCTCCGGGCGGTTTGGCCCAAATGAAGTAATCGACGTTGCTGATACCCGTCTGATCGGTGGGGAGTGCTCCAATTCCTGCACTCTTCACGTTGCACCATTCGTTACTCGAAGGTCCACCTGTAGACAAAGGTGGACAATTTAGCTAAGTTCCAGACAGTTTCACTCATGTCAAACCTACCATTTCTATTGCGAGAAGTATCGAAGATACAGTGGAGATCGGTGGAGCCAATTGCACTCTGAAAGTTGCTACACAGTGTCGAGAGCTTGCTGGTTGACTGGTAGTTGGACGTGTTGAGCGAAATACCCTTCACCTTCGAACCAGCAGTCACAAGTTGCTTCACTATGTCGATCACGGCCGTGGAGGTTGCGGGGTACTCGAGAGTCCAGTAGCCTACATCCAGGTAGATCACCGCGTTCTCGTTCTGTGACAGTAGACCGATGGCAGTCTGCAAGTTGGCCAGGTACCCTGCACTGTTGCCACAACCGGTGGTGTCTGCTAACAGTCCGATGGCGTCCGGCTCGAGAATATACAACACCTTTCTGTTGCCGATGGTCGATGTGAGTGTGTTCAAGAATGTCACGTAGTCCGAAGCGGACTGCACGGTGCTACCCACCGCCGATTCCTTGGCAGCGCAGTCCTTGTTGGGCAAGCCGTAAACGACGATACTGATTCGCGAGTCTTCGGGGCACGAGGACACCAGGTTGGCAGCTGTCTGGGCATAGTCTCCGTTATCTTTGCGATCCGAGTACCAGGTCGCTATCCCATATTTCTCCAACGCCTCGATGGCGAATGCCGACGCTGGGTATGCGGTCTTGGCCTTTGTGTAGGTCACCGGTGGTAGGGAACACAATGTATCAGCTTGGACAAGTCTTGTGCCAGCCAAAGCTAACAGGAACGCGGCCGAGCGTAGCATGACCTAAACGAAATGACTAACGCTACGCAACGCTGTAGAACTGTTCGAGCAGCAAAATAGCGAGTGCTTCGAGCACCTGGTTCGTCTGAACTGCAGCACGCATAAAGAAGGTCAAGTGCAGTGGAAGAACGCTGCCACCATCGTGAAATACGATCCTGACCAATCCACGGAGACCCAACATGACCCGCGCCCAGATGGAGGTCGCTGTGTCTGCAGCTGGTTCGCTACAGAATCCCCTCCCAATAAGCGTAGATAATATTCTACACTATTTCAGAGGTGAACTAAGATTACTCGAGTATTTACGAATATAGAGTTAATGGGTGGGAGCAGATATGACAGGGTATATCAAATACGAGCTTTATGTTTTGGAGGGACTTCTGTATCTCGAACTGTACAACAACGCTGTCAACAAGACAGGTTCACGCTTCATTGCGGTCATCGACATCGGCGTAGCATTCTATCTTTTGTTCGTGTGGGCCCTTTGCTACGGCCATGACCAGCATGAACACTACAAAATCCATTCGCCGCTAAACCGTGACTGTCGTAATAATTCAGACGGTTGCTGAGCGTGGCGGTGTCGTCTTGCTTCGCTTTGGTCTACGATTAGTCTTAGCCCAGCTCGGACTTGTGCCGAAGCCAGAAAGTCAGTACTAGATTTCCTGGTTCAGCATTGCCAATTCAACAGAACGCTGCGTAGTCGAAGTGGAAGTGTGAAAATTAAATGCATTGGAATGCTGTCTACCTCGCTGTCGTTATCCGATGCGTCGTAATACAAAACTCGCTACTCGAATTCGAGAACTACGTGCGAGGGAAGCCAACCTTATCCAATTGGGTTAGCCTAGACAAACACACCTCATACAACGTGACATATGTCACGATCCCGAAAGGCATAACCGGCGCCTTACAGGATCGTGCTGCCGCCAGCCGGCGTGCGCTTAATCTCAATGTGGATGTTCTCGCTGTCGCCGGGGGTCTCCAGAGCGGCGTCGGCATCACGCGCCTTCTTGATCTGGGCAGCGGCAACGCCGACAGCAGCCACAGCAGCCACAGTGCCGATGGCGGCCATGGCGATAGTAGGGACGCCGCTGTCGTTGTTGCTCTCATTACCCGACTGGGTGTTAGCCTGCTGAGCGGTCTGCTCGATGTTGTCGCTGCTCGAGTCCTCGGTGGTCGAGGTCGAGTCGGCCTTCGAAGCAGAGCTCTCCACATCGGTTGAGGTGGTAGGAGCAGGGGTCACGACGGGTCCCTTCGTCGACGTCGGTGTCGTAACAGCCGGGGTCGCAGCGGGAGTCGGCGTCGTAGCGGCGGGAGTAGCAGCAGGGCTCTCCGTCTCCTCGACGGGGAAGTTCGGGTTGCAGTCGGTAGCGTGAGATCCCTGCTCAGCCGTTGGCGTGGTAGCAGCCGGGGTCGCGACAGGGGCCTTGGTTCCAGTCGTAGGAACGGAAGGCGTCTCAGGAGCCGGAGTCACGGCAGGGGACTTGGTGCCGGTAGTAGGCACCGAAGGAGTCGAAGGGGTCGACGGGGTCGAAGGGGTCGACGGGGTCGAAGGGGTCGACGGGGTCGAAGGCGTAGTGACAGCCGGGGTGGCAGAAGGAGTCGTCGGCGTCGACGGGGTCGTGACGGCCGGGGTGGTAGCAGGCGTCGTAGGCACTGCCGGGGTAGCCACTGGGGCCTCCATCTCCGGAGCCGGGGTCGTGGCAGCCGGAGTCGCGGCCGGGGATGGAGTCGTAGCGGCCGGAGTCACCGCCGGGGTTGGCGTAGTAGCGGCCGGCGTCACAGCCGGAGCCGTGGTGGCCGGCACCGTAGCGGCAGGGGGCTGGGTGGTGGCCACAGGGGTCGGCGTCGTCACAACAGGCCCCTTGGTCGCCGGCGTGGTGTACGAGTCATCCTGGTTGCCGCTGGTGGTCGGCGTGAACGAGCCACCCTGCTGCAGGGCCAGCGCTTCGTTGGAGAGTACGGCCACCAGCACGGCCGTGCAGACAGCGAACTTACGGAACATCTTTTGCTGTCGGGGTCTTTTTCGAGTCTGCTGGAGCGGAGCGGGGCGCAAGGATCAGCCCCAGTGCGTGGTCTGCAGAGGCGGGTTCGGTAAAAGTGCGGGAAGCGCAGTCTTTGTATGCACAATGGACCTTCTTGCGCGTCACGAGCGACTCAACGCCACGACGGTCGCTCTTCGTAATTGACATGTGGATAAGATCTGGCTCTGAAGCCCACATCCCGAGCTCTGCATGCTGCGCACAGCGCAAGTTGCTGCCAGCAATTGAGTCATGCGCCTCAACGCGACGGATATGAGACGTTGGATAGAGCTGGCTGAATTCCACCGCCGCTGTGGTCCATGTGGCGGGTGTGTGGTGGTGGTCCACCATTACTGGTGGGAGAAAACTCCGTGTTGCTGAGGAGACCTGCATACCATGGTACTTATTACTCTCTCTGTTGCTTCAACTTCCGGCGTTTCTTGGCCGGTACACATGAGCTCTCTGCGCTGGCGTATACTTCGTACACTGACCATCATGGCAACACTTCGGACAACGAACTGGCAGCGCCACGGCGGCGCCATTTTCAAAATTTAGGACCAACTCAAATGAGCCACCCAGCTACTCCGCGTGGGTGGTCGGCACGAGCGAAGGCATATCGCAGCCAAAACTGTCGCCAACCCGACGACAGCTCAATTTCGAATCCAATTTCGCCCCAACGAGCTCACGAGCAAATCTGACGTATCATGCCAAGCGTTTTTCGTACTCAGACTTCCACCGAGAAAAAAAAATAATATTTCCTTTGAGAGCACAGTGCTATCGCGGATTGCTACTGCAATCCATGAGCCCGCAGTAAGGTGTTAGCGCTAACACCAAAACGATAATGGATCTCACATCTGGGTGTGACTGTATGTAGGCAAGCAATCGGACGAGTGCGACGATTCTAATGTAACTGCAGCGATGAAGATGAAAGTTTGTGCAGACAGGCGCTAGTATGTCTCTGCCACCGCAAAGACAGAGAGGTGTTGCTGGCATTTTGCCACGGGTGAACTGCCAGTATTCTGTAATATCCAACTCGTTAGTGGGCTGCTGCAGAGTACAGAGGAAGCGGAGCACCAGCGAAGGTAGCTGTCCATGTCGAATGAGTCAGGTGTAAATTGATCACGCTTTGATTACCACTGTGGATGCATTTATTAGATAAGATATTGTCCACAAATCCGTGCCTGAACCTCGAAAGCTTTTTACTTAACGAGATTGCCATTACTGTATACTCAGCTGAATGCTCGTCAGTGAAGTACGATCAAGGAGAAAGTAGTCAATCCAGTGACAGCCCATGTAGTAGCCGACGTAGGCCACTGCGAAGTACTGCCTGAAGTCTCAGCGTTCGGATCGTAAATGGTATCCATCTGCTGAGTGTTCACAAAGTAGCCCTGGTTCCAGAGCTTAATGAAGTGGTCGTTGAAGAACTCACCAGCAGGGGGTCCCCGCATAGCGTCCGTCGACTGATCCACGCACGTTCCATCGCTGTCTCCAGGAGGCTTTACGTACAGCCAGTAGTCAATGTTATCCAAGTCCGTGACATTGGTGGGCGGCGCCCCAATGCCGGCTTTCCTCACGTTACACCATTCCGAGCTGGAGGCATCCGCAAATTCTTGAAAATTACGAGAACTGTCGATCACGCAGTGCATGTCTGTGGACCCCACCGCCGTCTGGAAGCTCGTACACAGGTCAGCGATCTGCGTAGTGGAGCGATAGTTTGACGTGTTGAGCGCGATACCCTTCACACGACCAGCCTGCGCGAGTTCCTTGACAATCTGGGCCACGATGTACGCCGTATCCGATCGTTCCAGCGTCCAGAAACCAACGTCGAGGTAAATTTCGGCGTTCGGATTTTTCGATAAAAGCGTGATCGCAGCGGTCAGATTGCTCTGATACCCGTACTCCACCGCACATCCCTTGTTGGCCAGCAAACCCACGGCATCCGGCTCCAACACGTAGAGGACTTTGCGTTCTCCAACAAGCGCTGTCAGGTTGGTGATAAATTCTTCATAGTCTTTGCCGGTCTTTACCGTGCCGTTGCCGTTTGAATATCCAGCGTCGCAGTCCTTGTTAGGCAGGCCGTAGACCACCACATTCAGTCTCGAGGATTCCGGACACGTCGCGATGAGGTCCACAGCAGTCTGCGTCGCGTTGCCATTGACATCACGGTCAGAGTACCAGGTAGCGATGCCAAAGGTCTCGAGGTGGCTCAGTGCAAAGGCAGAATCCGGATGTGCCACCTTTGCATCTGCGTAGGTGACGGGAGGCAGCGAGCATAGCGTGTCGGCAGCATGAGCTACGCTACCCACCCAACCAAGCACGACCAGGAGCAACAATACCATCGAAGTACCAAGGCCTGTATAAGACGCTTTTGATGGTTGTCGACGCTTCTCCAAGACTGGCCTCCTCCCTTGGGTCTGTCCAATTGAGACGAAAGTGATGACGGCGAGAGCATCGCCTGACAATGTGCCGACTACGCGTACGCTCTATGAACAGTGCAGACGTAGCCATGTTAGCCGTGGTAGCTGGTCGACGCTCAAAGCTAAAGCAACAAAGATGACCAGATCAATACATGTGGCAGCACCAAATAAGTAGGCACTCAAGTTAGCTTCAACTGAGTAAAAAGCTTGTCAAATTTGTTGCCTGGGCACGTTGTTTGCCTTGTGGTTCTGATCATTTTGCTTGAAGGAGTCATGTAGTTGTTTGCTTGTACTACTACGAGTGTGTCATTCGAAATAATCAAATGATAGCCATTGGATAGGAAAGTCAACTATGAATGGACTAGAGCAGTTTTGGCTAGCATGTAGGCCACATTTTGGATGTTAGTAGAGCTCAACCGGCTCCAATTTAACTAGATCACCTTCGACTTAGCTGGAAATAGGCTTCTTTTTACGTAAAGAAAGGTACTAGAAATAGATATTAGAGATTCAGTCACGTGCGTAGATGAATGTACTCAGTACTACAAGATCTGTTAGTAGAACCCTTATTCTGCAGGCTCCACTAAGATATCAGCGGACAAATCGACAACAACATGTTCTAGTACTATGGGATTCAACTATATAAAAGAGAAAAAAAAAACGGCTTCAATTAGCCATACCCTTGAAGACCGACAGTCCAACAACTTTTGACATGCAGCACAAGTCCCAAACTTCATTCGAGGCGTCAACCCCGGGTTGTAATAGAACGAATCAAGCATTATAAGCCCATTTGATTGGGTGTAAAATTATTTTTCAGATTTTATTCAATACGCACATGGAATCGTTACAGCTGTACAGTTTAGCCAGCTCTCGTAGGTTGTTCTCGGCCCTAAATGAAGCGGCGAAATGGATTCAGCGCGTAGTTTTAGATATGTTGGGCTCTAGATAAAAAAAAAGTATTTGTAATCTCAACTTGCCGCTTTCCACCCAGTTTGCTAGTGCGTTGATCCTGCGGCGAGTACAAGTAGACCCAGGGGTCCCGAAAAGGATATTGTTATTTATTACACTCTGTAACAAAATATAAATCATTGCCATTCTGCAAGATGTCCTCAACATACATAATGATCATTCACCATTAAGGCAATAAATAACTCAGTAACTGAGGGAATAACTAAGAAAGAGTATCAAAGAAAGATGTTATTTTCAACTGCTACAGCTTACCGCTACCCATGAGCGGGTTGCGTCGTCGACGGTCTGTGCGTTCCAATACGTGTTGTTTTCTCTTAGGAACACGATCATTTCCAAGGTGATAGGAAGCAGTCCATGTCGTTCCTGTCCAAATGTCGTCCTAGCAACGCTAAAAAAAGTACTCGACAACATTGGACGTGGCTAGATGATTGACACAAGGAGGTACTTGCTCTGCTTCGACGGAAGGCGGCGTGGTTTCTGTAGCAACTTGACAAAGAACCTTCTTCGCGGCCCTCAGCATCATCCTCGCCGTTGAAGCGTGGATTGGTGGGTTTAAACGGAGCCAGTACGTCTTTTTCGGCGCGTGTTAAACGGCTTGAACCGCCAGACTGCACCCACACGCACCTCACCTCAAAATCAGGGCTCGTGGCCCTTTAATAAACGAATCAACAAATGTTAGCACATTCCCTTATTAATAATAATTATAATAACGTACCGATGAACCGGGCGTAGTGTGGCTTAATGGCAATGAGCACATCCAGCCATATTCTCGTATCTAATATACACCATTTCAGGTCCGTTCTCCCCAGATCAGGGATTCAATACAACCCCCCCCCCCCGGCCGACCTGTGCATAGGTCTGGACAGACCTCAGTTCAAACTAACCACCACCAGTATTCAAAAGACCCAGTCCGCTTTTTTTTTGCCTGTGCCAGCAGCTGTCCAGCTGGGTAAATGTCAACTTTTGTCAATTACCTACCGTACCTTCGAGAATGGAGTTTAGCTCTTCCACCGCTCGGTGCAGTTTGACATTTGAAGGATGGGGAAAAACGTTCGTGCACGTGTCCTGGCGGCTGCGGAAGTAGGCGATAACTGGCGGCAAGTTGCGGCTCATAACGGTGTCGCCGTAGAGACTGCACGAGGTTGGGTGCGTCGCGCAAAACGTTTGGGTGACTTTACGCCCGCTCCGGACAAGAGAGGTGGGGCACACAACAGGAAGCTCAAGCCTGCTAAAGTGGCGTTTCTGGAGGAGAGTTTGGAAGAGAACTGCTATCTAACGCTGGAGCAGATGAGGAGATGCTGCTCGACCGCTTTAACATCAACGTCGCGGCCGAGACTGTGCGAGCTAACCTAGATGCCCTTTGTTATACAGTGAAAAAGGTGCATCGCGACAACAACTACCGGAACACCCCACTAACACTCTCAAAAGACAGCAGTTTGCTGTGAAATTGTTGCAGTATATGGGAGCGGACAAGAAGAGCTTGTACCTGGACGAAACCAGCTTCAACCTTTGGATTAGCCGTAGCAATGGGTGGAGCGTTCAAGGGACTCGTGCGGTGGACTTGAGCATGTGTAGCAAAGGCAGCAACATTCACGTTATTGCTTGCATTTCACGCGATGGAGTTGAGTATTCGAAAGGGCGGTTCAGGTCGTTTAAGTGAGAGTCTGCAAACGAGTATTCGCTGTATGCTGCGTGCCCAGGCGGCTCATGCAGATCTCACTAATGTTGTCGTTGTGTTGGACAACGCACCCTGCCATAACCGCGCCGAAACAGTGTTTGAAGAGGACGAGTTTGCTCAAGTCGAATGCCTACGTCTCGGACCGTACTCACCTATGCTGAATGGAATTGAGAACGTGTTCTCTGCGTACAAGTCAGCAGTGAAGCGGTACATGGCAGTGAACCGACGCAAGATTCTTGACGTTCCTCAGGGAATGACCATCACAGCTCATCGCTCGACATTTCTGCTGCATGCGGCAAACATCATCTTTCGTGAGGTCGTCACATCCGAGTTGTGCCGTAAATGCATCCACCACATTTTTGGCTTCCTTAGTGATGCCATTTTAATGAAGGACATGGCAGTAGGAACTTAAAATTTGACAAACGTTGTCATGTACCCAGCTGGACAGCTGCTGGCACAGGCAAAAAAAAGCGGACTGGGTCTTTTGAATACTGGTGGTGGTTAATTTGAACTGAGGTCTGTCCAGACCTATGCACAGGTCGGCCGGGGGTGGTTGTATTGAATCCCCGATCTGGGGAGAACGGACCTGAAATGGTGTAGACACGTCGGCACCATGCAATGCCTTCGCCACTGACTCGACCTTCGTTAAGTCGTTCAGCAAAGCTCGCAGACGGCGGTTTGCGCAGGTGAGGGCATCATATCTTCCAGTTCATCATCGATGGCGTCGATAAACTCTAGGAGGTAGAAGTAGCGCATGATCATGAAGAAGGTTGACCCCCCTCGTGTCTTGGCGGATGACCGGTCGCAATTGAGTTTTTGCTCTAAAATAAAATTAATAAAACACACACAAAAATTGTTACTGCGATATTTGAAGTGCAGTACACAAAATACAAAATACAGTACCGTAGTTTGGCTGATTGCGTCAATGTACGAAGCTTTAGCATGAGCTTCTGCACTGTGTCCAGCTCTTCTTCGTAGTCTGCCAGTTCGAGTTGGACTGCCCGGTTCAGTCGATGGCTGGCGCAACCAACGAGCGGCACGCCCATTAGTGTCGCCAGTCTGCGATTGACTGAGCAGATGTCAGCAACGAGGAAGCAGCACATCCCCAGCTGCTTTCCGTAGTCACGGGGCAGCATGGTCGCAAGGAATTCCATGTGGCCTCTAGCTGACAGGCCTTCTTCCTCGTCATTTAGTAGATGTGCCATGCACAGTAGCGGCGTCTTCGCGACGGCATCGCTGCTGAAAAGCCCGACCGTTTTGGCCTCATCTTTGACGGCTGGACGCATGCATCGGAACACTGTATTGCTGTCGACTTCGTAGCGTACGTAGACAGCAATATAGTGTTCCGATGCATGCGTCCAGCCGTCAAAGATGAGGCCGAAACGGTCGGGCATTTCAGCAGCGATGACTTGCTTGACGGGCCGTGTCAGGCTGCCCATCCCTGAGACGAGGTTCTCAACACATATGGGATCAAGATTTGAAAATCTGCAAAAAGAATTAGAAATTTTACGTTAAGAAATTTACAAAAAACTATTAAAGCAAAAACTCTCGCCGTCGAGCGGCCTTGTTCTCGCAGAACGATAGCGGCAGATTGTTCTTCAAAATTCATTCCATCCAAGTGAAGAGATTAACCGATGAACGCCGAACATAGTTGAGGATGGACCCCGTTTCGCGGTTGTAGCAGCAGGCATGAGGTCCTCGTACATAGGGTCTTCACTTCGAACATGGGATATCAGGTTCGAATACCCGTTTTGCCGGGCTTGCTTTCTTACAGTGCCGCAACGACAACGATGATATTAGGGGATATCTTCATCGTTGTCGTCGCGGCACGGCCAAAAAGAAAACCCAGTCACTTGAGCCGAAGTAAAGCGAGGGTGGCGACGAGGAGCAAGGACCATGGGAGTTGCTGGCGTTGCTGGTGAATTTAAAAGTGATGATAGCAAAATTGGTCAGACGTGGCAGCACAATGACTGGTAGAGATTGTTTGGCATAATTTAAAGTAAATTCCGTCATAAATTACCTGTTTTAATGTGTTACACATAAAATAATGGATACGTTAGGATTGAGCATCAAAATAAATATTTCGCTAATATTTATCAAACTTACTTTGGTGCCAATTTTTTTTTCGGGAGCCCTGAGTAGACCATGCTTTAATGTAGCCATGTATGTTCGATGAGTGTCAATGCTTGCTTCGCAGGCTTCAACGGCTCGCGTTGCGATACAATCTGTAAGGGTAAACCTGGACCAAACTGACAAAAAATATGCAATTATGAACGGATTCCACAAAAAATCTAACTACTCATCAACACGTTATCCTGTTGAAGTTGCTTTGAGCGGCAGAGAATCAGATTTGCGTGTGAAGGACTCCTTCAGAAGGAGGATCCACTTCATGCCACATGCAATGAAAAGCGTGCATACACTCATCTGCTCCAGCTCACAAAAGGACACCGGTGCCGTGCATCTAGCGTTCGCTCTAGATCGTTTCATGGCGGCTGCAACCCGGGAATCCTTACGACGGGTTGCTCCCCTCAGCTGCCACAACGCGAGCCGAAACACCCACCGCCGCAACGCCAACAGCAATGGCTGCCTGCATATACAAAGCATCAACCACACCAGTCCTTTCTTGCAGACAGTGATGGCACTATGCTTCGCTATGTGACTGATCTACCCGGAGTGGGATATTCTGCGTCAAACGGAGCAGCTTGTCAAGAAACAAGCCCAGCAGTCATTCCTGCACCCTTTGCCGACGTAACGGCGCGATCTGTAGCCATGTTCGCTTCAGCCAGCTCGACTACCAAAGAACTCGGTAACGGACTGATCCGCACCAAAAAAAAACGACTCGCAATCTTTTGGCAAAGCGCCACCAAAATTTGCCTCAGATCGAGCAACAATGATATGCCAGTCCGATCTCGACGCCGAATGTTCCGACGTCTTCCCTATCCGCCAGTGCAGCGGCATGATCACCATGCTTGCTTTGCCAGACGCTGCCCGAGAACGCTCTGACGCGCTCTTCGTCGAGTAGAAAGTGTGGACAAGCTGCGAGTTTTTTTGCCAGCTGGACGCCACTTGACATCGGAGTCCTGCTGCGTCGCGGCAAAAAGCGGGCGTCGGATCAACATCGAGCGGAGCTCTAAGCAGCGCAGCATCAGCCGATGGATAGTCGCTCGACAGCGGTCGGCGTTGACTACTTCGCTGGCAGAACGATAGATCCATACGAACCTGCGGAGGAGACGCCGTCTAGCATCCATCCGCGTTGACACGGACGTCTGTTAGCGCACTCAGCCAGCGCTACTGTATCCGGTGGCCACAAGAAGACGCCGTCTGCTTGGGCGCGAGAGAGCAGCCGGCGCTTGCAGTTCCGCCCCGTGATGAGAGCGCCCGCCACCCGCTTTTTCAAGCAAAGCCCAGTGAGAATATTCGCTTTTCCTCCAGCTTTGCTTTGAAAACCGCCGAACAGCCGTTGCCATTTTCAAAGCTTTTTTTGTTATTTGGCAAAATATTTCTCGAGCGGTTTGCGTAGCACTCCAGAATCTCTTTCTCTCTCTCTCTCTCTCTTCTGCTGCGGCTGCTCATTCTCCAACTCGCCGTCCGCTGCGCATCAGCAGCGTCTTGTCACATTCAGGCGCCCGATCTCTACGACGTTGATGCCCGGCCAGTTCGTTGACGTGGTCGCCGTCGCGTCCCCGACGACGCTCGCCCCCACTCTCAAGGGCCTGGAGGAACCACTAGCCGTGCCTGTGCCTTTGCCCGTACGCGGGGGCCGATCGCAGTCGCTGTCCACTCTGCCACGCCGCGCATCCACGGCCAACGTGTTGACGGTGGAGAACAACCAGTCGGATACCTTCACAGAGGAGGAGGAGCTCGAGTTCCAGCGCCAACAGCACACCCGACACGCGCGACGAGCGCTTAGTTCGGGCGCCGGCAGCTCGCTCAGTCTGCTGCAACAGGAACTCGGCTACCCGCGTCGCGCCCGGGTGGCAGACGGCCACAGGCATCGACGTGGGTCTTTGTTGGAAACGGCCCTGGAGAACAAGAGAGTACACAGCACCAGCCATGACAGCAGTCATGAGATTCACAGCAACTGCAGCAGTAGTTCAGGTAGCGTGGACAGCGCCAGTGACCTGCAACGCACACAGTCTGTACCCGAACCGGAAGCAGAAAACCAGATAAACCAGCTCCACTACAATGGCCGCAGTTGGACATTCAACGCAGTCACGTGTTCACCACGCAGCGATGCAACAGGTGCACAAGTAGAGGAAGAGGAAGAAGAGAACTTTATGAACTACCGCAGTGCGTCGGTCACAGGCTACAGCCGCGACACCGACGGCGTCGTCTACTATGAAGTGATCGTGCGCTCCACGGCACACGGTCCGCTATCAGCCTACAAGGTGCGACGACGCTACTCCGAGTTCCGAGATTTACACGCCGCATTGAGCAAAGTCATGCCAGTATCACACAGGAAACTAGCGTCCGTCACGGCCATGGCCAGTATCAGTGACGACCACAACGAAGAGGAAGATGCATCAGTGGGTTTCCGTTTCTCCATCACAGACTGCGGAGAGGACACAGAGCCAGCATTACCCCCGCTACCGGACAAGGGCGGCGTGTGGAGCTACCTGCAATTTGACAGTATCCCGCTGCTAGAGCGAAGAGCAAAGTACTTCCACGCTATGTTGGTGGCCGCACAACGGCATCCAGCAGCGCGTGCCAGCCGACTACTCAACGACTTTGTCGGCACGCCACCCGATCTCGTGTCCTTGCACTCAAGTGTTGAGAACAGCTACGTGAGCCTGAACCGCTTCGCCGCGCCCAAACTGAGCTTCGACATTGAGATCCAGGAGAGGAAAGAGAAGGCCAAGAGCATCCGGAGACGGCGAAGCTCCCTCAAACGCCAAAGCTTCACCGGTTCGCTTGACGCCATCTCTAACAGCCCGCGTCCATCGCAGTAATCAAGCGAAATCTCCGCCACAAGGGCGAGACCTCCTCACACAGCATCTCGGAATCGGTTTGGATTCTTTTTTCTCATCAATCAGAGCCCCCACTTCTGTCGTTCGTTATGTGACTCATGTTTCTTATTCGTAGTGTAAATTGTCAAGCAAAAAAAATATATATATATAACGAGTCTGGTGTGGAAAGTAGCCGTCGTCGTCTGTCTGCTTTCATTTCCCTCCGCGACTTTGCATTACGCTTTATGTAGGGGAATCGGCAACTGTAACGCCACAACATGGTGCCTGCAGCAGACAAATATTTGCATGTTGCATTCAGCGGCATCATCCGTGGCGGTCGGAAATCCGTTCGGCTCTGTATTCGGTGATCTATTAAAGCAGAGAAGCAGGGCTGTCTACAGGTATGTCCATCAAGAATGAAGCGTCCAACTAAACAGAGCAGAGCGTAAGCTACCTACGACAGAGAATCGCCTTACGGCGGCACCATCTTCTGGACGTAGTCGGCGATCTCTGGCTCAAGGTACTCGGACAGCTCGTCCCGGGTCACCCAGAGGAAATCGCTAGCCTTGTCCTGGTTCAGTGTCACATCTCCGTCCAGGTGCTGCGACTTGTAAAAGAAAACCTTGGTGCCGTCAAACTCCGAGTCGTTTTCGTGCAGATACTTGACGTAGCCCATGGGCGCGAAACCCACCGGGTTCGCCTCCATCTCGTCGCCGACCGTCTCGCTCATGTGTCGGAGCGCAGCATCGCGCATCTTCTCGGCGTCCTGCTTCTCACCCACAGGGAAGAACCACGGGTACTTGGCGTCCTTCTGGTCGTTCTTGACCAGCAGGAACACGCGGCCCTTAAGCGCGCGGTTAAGCGACTTGCGGTTGTTGTTAGCGTCGTCCTCCGTCTCACGCGGGGCTAAATGGAAGCCGGCGCCCACGATCTCCTCGGGGTCCTCCTCGGCATTAGGCCACGGCGCCTCCTCGGGCGTAATGTGCTTCGTGCCAGGCTCCATGAACCAGAAATCCTCCTCTAGTCTCTGATCCTCACGCAGAGCCTTCTCGTGCTGCATGACCTCAAAGTCCACTTCCCAGTCCTTCAAATCGGGCTGCACAACCGGAAGACGCTCCAAAACGGCTGCACTAAGGATGCGCCACTTCTTTCCATCGTCCACGGGCGGCGACACGAGGAAGTTCTGGCGGTGAGCCCTCTGGCGAGGCGCTTGACGCGGCGGAGGCGGGTTGCGCTTGCGCTCCTCGATCTTGGCCTTCTGGCGCCACGTCAGGCGCTTCTTGTGGCCGGACGCGAATGTACGCAGCTGCTGAGCGGGCTGGGCACCGGACGCAGCGCGCGTCAAGCCGCTACGGAGCGCGAACATGACCAAGTAATGCGAAGGTTAGAAGCTGCTCAGTGTGTGTGGCTCAGGCAAGGCGCTGCCAAAAACAGGGTCCACTATTGAGGCTGGTACCATGTTGTAGGTACATTTGTGTTAATCAAACACAAAAATTACTTTTCCTGCGACGTGTGAGAATAGGATGGCTACACTTCGCTGCAGAATCTTCAGCTAAATCTCTTTGTTAAAGAGCGGATGGTTGTATCTACCAGGCACCTTAGCTCCAGCTTCTGAGGTCTTGGATCCGTTCGCAGCAACGATGTTGCGTCGGGCGTCGGAACCGGCGGATCGAACTGTTGCAGGCGCGCTGCGGCGATCTTGCATGCCCTTCGTCCAGGAGTCTATTTCCTCTCGATCTTGCTCGTTAAATAGCAGACGGTGACGAGTTCCTAACGCCAATACTCCCTCGATAATTGTGGTAGCCCACGAAGTGTTAAGTTTGCTGTACAGCGTGCGAAGCAGCGGCATCAGCTCTGAATGCAGTCGATGCGACCGCTCCTCTCCATCCTGACAATCTTTGCTGCTCACCATCTCTTCGAAACGAAGCTTCACCACTTTAGCAGCCTTATTAAACTGGTACGTTTCATCTGTAAAGAGCTGTGCATGCGTGATTGCCAGAAACATCCACGCATCCAGCTTTCGTTCTCGCTCACTGCGTTCATCGCCTTCAACACTCAGGAGCACGTCACGCTTCGCATTCAACGTCTCGATCAGCGCCTGAAATTCTTTCCTGCCGCTTAATGTTTGTCCCTTCTCTTCGATCACTTTCGTCAATGTTTCCATGAACAGCCCGCTCGATTCGGCAGTTAATTGATCCGATATCAATTGGCAAAATAACGCGCTCGCCTTGGCAAATTTCTTGTCCACTAGCTTCGATCATCAAGCGTAAGAGGAAGGATACCCACAGAAATGTTAAGAACGTTCAAACTATGTGTTGAAATAGTCATCCAGTACGTATTTTACTTACCATGTATCCCTCTAGCTTTGCCACCGTGGTCGGTAGGTCCAGCGATTTCTTATCCGTGCGTTGGCGCTTCATCGCACCTTCTTTGGTTGAATCATCGTCCACCTTCTTACTGCTCTTTGCTTCCTCTTCTCGTTCGCGCTTGGTCTTCGTAGGGAGCGCCAAGCCACTGTACAAGTCGCCACCGTCCATGGCAGTTCGCCGTTATTTTTCAGCGAAGCGATACTTAACTGAAGAATACTGATTCCTCTGATTCTGAAAAAAAA